CAGCCTCCAGTACTCCTGTGAGGACCTGCATATAATACAGTTGACAAGGAAGTTAAAGCTTAACTCCTTGCACTACTTTCAGGCAGAGCGCTTAAACACATCTGATCATGAATGTCACATGTAAACTGAGCAAAAGTATAATCATAGAGAACTCTTAAATTCATTCTAAATTAGAAAGGTTTTATTGAGCCCACATTCCAGAAATGAGATGAGCATATAATGATCTCTAACAGGGTGCATCTATTAAACTACTGCTAGACTCCATTATTCATTATCCTAAAGGCTGCTTGGGGGCCTGTACCCAATGGAGTGAAACACTTGAGGACTGACAGGATGGTCTGCTGTAGCAGTGGGTGGAAGCTGTGAGAGAGGGACAGAAGATGCAGGGTACGTTCCTCACCTCTTTGCGTTTCTCCAGCAGGCTCTCCAGCCGCTCAGGAGATCTCTGCCCCGGCCCCTTGCTTCGTTCAGCCTCATACTGACGCTGATTGTTGTCTTTGTGCATACTCAGCTGGACGGCAACGCTTACAAGGGAAGTCATCAGCTTCATGGCTTTGAGTCAGGGAAAACAAGGTAAGAAAATCATTACTTAGGTCAGATGAGTGAGGGTGGGTGCAAAAAGAAGGAAAAAGGGGGCAGTGAAAATGAAAATCTAGAGCTGGGTGATCCTAAAATTCTAAGACTGTCCTGGGGTGAACTTTTTTTCTTCTTTTAGCAATTCTGACCTTCTTTTAATCTTCAGCACATTCCCAATGGTGAGCTACAAGAAAGACGTTAAGGCTGGAAATTGTCACTATGATCCACCCCTTTTTACAACTGCACTAGTGAGAAACTGGAGTGAGGTTTGGGATAAAAATAGCATGAACTGGAACAGCTAAGATGCAGGTAGGAAGAAAGATGCAGGACTGGGAAACAGAGGAAAGTCCTACCAACCCCCAGGACAATGTCTACAGAGTAAAAATGAGCGCTCACCAGCCAGTGTGCTAGTGTGACGGAAGGCACGGACTTGGGAGTCTGAGAGGCCAGTGAGCAGGGAGATGAGGTGGTCCATGGGGAAGCCATCATAGAGGAGGCTGTACTGGCACTGACAGACCAATGTCTTCACAAAGTCACAGAAGCTGCCCTGGAACTTCTTCCAGGATGGACCTGGAGCTATCAGAGGATAGTCCCCCGAGTCCTACAGAAGGGTTTATAAAGTGTAAGAAAGTTATTACCAGGTCCATGAAGCCATAGGGACTTTGAATGTCAAAACTCAATAGTACAGTAAAAATATGTCTCCATTATGCTCATTCCCCACTATTCTCCCCAACAGTAGAAGTGTTTTTGATAATACCTTTGTGTCCCTTTTATCCCAAAGAGATTAAACAACTCCTTCTAAAAAGCTACCCTATTTCCCAGAATCAGAAAAAAGGAGGTAATAGTCTTTGTGTTTTGAAATAAGAGGAGCAAGAGGATCCTGGCCGTCTTCCTCCACCTCATTAAACTGTTCTGTTAGGTGCCGGATGATCTCAGAGTTGGACATCTTCTTGAACATCTCGAGAGTCACAGTGCCTGAGAAATGGAGGAGATGAGGTAATTACATGGAAAGTAACAGGGCATCATGAGAACTTACAAATACATCTAAAGATGAGCTACGGAATATACTGAAAAGAGCTTAGGTAGAGAATCAGAAGACCCGAGTTCTAGTCGTAATTCTGCCACCATCCAACTGTGTATAGGCTGCCTCTATAAGGCAACCTCTAGAAAACTCAGAAGAAATCAAACAGTGGAAAACTATGATTAAAAAACAAACAACAAGCAATAAAACTAGGCCAGATGCTGGGTTCTTATAATACAGCCTGCCTGAGACTATCTGCCCAAATAAATTAAGTCATGGCCTCTGGGGATCTGGAGGCCCCACAGCTTCAGAGAAAAAATATGGAATGAAGTGGCTGAGACATAAGGAAGAAGAAAATAAAAGGTTTCATTTAGAGACATGGAAGACTAAAAAGTGTCTGATGATCCATTTTGAAATCTGTGAACACCATTCTCTCTCATATTAGCATAATAAGTTATTTTTCCCCAAAGGGTCTTGCCTCTAAACCAACACTGTTCCCTACTGGAACACTTTCCTTATTTACCAATAAAAATGTAGTTAAATAAGTGAGACTGTTTTTATGCTTTACCTTCTCCTTTACTTAGGAAATATCTAATCCTACTCATCTAAATAGAGGAAGATTTTCCTAACACAAGAGCAAAAGGCTGGGAATCTAGCAAGGGGTAGGGATCTCCTCACCTTTACAGCCACAAGAGCGAATGAAAAAGTTAACGAGCTCCAGGAATCCTGCATCTTGGTCTTGCTTGTAGCTATCCACCCAGTCATCCACCAATGTCTAGGAAAAAAAATATGGATGACTTCTATTTCTGGAACTATGACAAACCAGAAATCCTGTGTGATCATTCCAACTGAAACATTTAAACTGATTAAAATACTAAATTCATATTTTAAAATGTACTGAACTAGACAGATAAAATTTCACATAGGCCAAAAACGAAGTGAAAGCAGGAACCCTGGGAGATAAGCAAGCACCAAGCTGACTTTTGCCCTGAGGGCTTCTATCAAACCTTGGAGACCCTGACTTTCTGTCAAGATGACTGCATGGGGTGCAGAGCATAGAAGATAGAGCCTATGATAGGGTCTTTCCAAAAGGAGATCGAGTCTTCCCAAGAAGGGTAGTCTAAGAGAAGGCACCTACCTAAAGCTGGGCCATGCAAAAACTCATATCCTTATAAAAGCAAGGGTGAGAAATAAAGCTACAGGGCAGAAAAGGACAATAAGAAAACTACGTTGTTCTGACTTTAGTGTGGGGCAGAGGAAGAAAAAAGAATTCTCTCTTGAGAATTCGTAACAGTAAGTCCAGCCCTCAGGTGGGTTTGCAGTCCAGATGCACACTACCTATAAGGTCAGAATAATCAGAGACTTTTATTGAAAGTGGTCCTGTAGTGTCCCCAGGCAACTGGCTGAAGCAAATGCAGGTTCCTCTCTTAATAGCCCACCTTCAACGCGGACTCCAACACGTAAAGTTCCAAAGAAAATGAATGGCTCACAGTAAAACCTAGTAACACATTTTAAAAAATGCACTGACAGTAGAAACTAGCAGGAAAAAAGACAGCAAAATTATATCCACAAAGACATTAGGCACCAAAATTATTGCAAATTATAAAATTATGTTTAACATGTATAAAGAAATAAAAAAGAAGCTTGAAAGTAGAGGCAAAGAAGAATCAATTTTGGAAAAGGGCCGAACAAAATTTGTAGAAATGGAAAATAAATACAATTTAAAATTCCAATAGATACATTAAACACAGTTTGGGCACACCAAAATAGAGGATGAGTGAACTGGAAGATAGAGTTAAAGAAAGAAATTCAGCACAGAAAGACAAAAAAATGGAAATAACGAGAGATATGGAGAACAGAGTGAAAAGTTCTGTTGTTTTTGTTAGGTACTGTCAAGTCGGTTTCGACCCACAGCGAACCTATTACAACAGAATGAAACACTGTCTGGTCCTTCGCCATCCTCAGGATCGTTGCTATGTTTGAGCCCATTGTTGCAGCCACTGTGTCAATTCCATCTTGTTGAGGGTCTTCCTCTTTTTTGATGACCCTCTAATTGAATTTCAGAAGAAGATAATAGAATGAGGAACAGACAATATTTGAACACAATTTTCCACTGTTGTTGAAAGACACCAATCCTCAGAGCCAGGAAGCCAATGGAACTCATGCATGACAGACAAAAAGAAAATATAAAATACCAGAATATCCTATTAACATTGTATAAAATATCAAAACACAAAAACAAAAACAAAATCAAAAACGAAAAACTAAACTAACCAAAAAAACCAAAAACTAATTACTTATAAAGGATTTGCATTTAACACAGACTATTTACAAATTAGATCTGCACTGTTAAATAAGTTAGCCCCTAAACATACATAGATATTTAAATTAATTTACATTAAATAAAAATTTAAAATTCAGTTCCTCAGCCACACTAGCCACATTTTTTTGGCTCAGTAGCCACATGTGACTAGCGGCTACTGTACTGGACAACGTTGATACAAAACATTTCCATTATTACAAAATGTTCTATACTGGACAGTGCTAAATTAGATGGATGGCTGACTTTCAACAGCAATAGTGGAATAATCTAATGTGCTGAAAAAAAAAAATATCATGTTAGAATTCTATATCCAGCAAACAATCTTTCAGAAACAAGGGTAATAAAACATTTTTATACAAAAAAAAAACTGATAAGAGTTTGTCAATAAATCCCCTCTAAATTTTAAAAGAATAAACTTTGGACAGAAAGAGATTCTGCATGAGATTCAAGAAGGAACGATGAACAAAGAAAATTATAAAATCGTAGGTAAATACAAACAAACGTTGACTGCATAAAGCAGTAACGTCTAATCTGAATTTATTTCTACGGTTTTATGTGCTTTCATTTTATCCTGCCTTTTCTTTTTCCCCTTTGCTTGCTTTCTTTTGGATTCCTATCTTCTACAAGATCCTGAACAACAGCATGTAAACTGGAAAGGGTAATTGGAATCAAAATATGCACACTATTAATGTTTCATTTCTTGAACTGGTATAAAGATCTGAGCGATGATTTTATTTTTATTTTTTAAACTACATATACGCTTTATACACTTTTGGATGAAAACAGAATTTCAACAAATTTTTTTAAAAACGTGAGGACGGGAAAACTGCATTAGGTATAAATATCAAAAAGGCGCTAAAAGGTGACAAGGGTGCTTTAAACACAAGCTGCTACCCATATCCAAGCTTTCTCCCTCACCCAACGCCTTCTTGCTTCCTCCATCAATCAATAAAGGCAGAATCTGCCCTGTTTTGTGATACTCTTAGGAAAAGAAATATTCTTTTTCATTTGAGGTTTTCCTTATTTCACTCTAAGAAATTCTCTTCATGGTCAAATCTCTCTTCGCTGCTATACGTTACGTTCACCAAGATGCCCACATCAAATCAAGTTTGTAGACACTTGTTCTTATCTTCCCACTCTTTAAAGGGTGAGATGGTATCAAGAAACTGAGGTGAGACACTGTGTTTTACCTGCATGTCACTTTTGGCAGCCTTCACAGCATCAAAAAGATCACTGGCTGGTGGCTCTGACTCTTTCTGGTGGTGATCACGTACCATCCGGGACCCCTTCTTTGGTTGTTTTGCCACCTAGTAAGTATAAAGAGAGCAAGAATATGAAAAAAAAAAAAAAAAAAATGAAAGTGGTGTTAACGGTCTCATCGTTATCACACAGATAGGCTTAAACTACCAATTCCACAGCACAGTTTAAGCTATTTACTCAGATATAAAATACTTTATTTTTATGTTGTTGTGAGCTTTGTCATTACTTTTTCTCCTTTTAAAGAGTTCGCTAACCCCATTCCTATTCCTCTATATCTTAATACCCTCTCCTGTTCTTTTCTCTTCAAAATTTGCCTTCTTCCCACTTCCATTCCTTAACATCCTTTAAGTCCTGTCCTTTCACCAACCACATTCTAGACCAGGTTCAAAAACAAAACAGACTGACTCACTGGAGTTGTTTTGAGTGGTCGTTTTGCTGGTCTCTTCTTCACACTGCGTCTCAAGATGTCTTCAAAGTCACTGCTTTCATCAGCTGATGAAGAGTCACTATTCCTATGAAGGAATATGGTTCTCCTTAACTATAACATCCCTTATTTCCTCTTTATAAAAGTGTTCATGAATTATAATTTCTCTCTTTGTCTCTAATTACACTCCCTCTCCATAAGAAAAATACACTTTCAAATTTTCTTTAAGAAGACATGAGCTTTCTATTGCTAGGACGTAGAGGAATAGTCTTAAAAACAAAATAAAACAAAATTTTCCCTTGAACAAAGCAAGCAGGTGAAGAATGAAAAACTGAGGTGGGTGAAGGACAACACTTTCCCAATATTCTAAACAGGAAAATCAAATTATATTCACTTAAGCAGGCATAGGGATCACTGCTCTGTGTGGAGAAAAATCAGGATGACTCAAAGTCAAACATTAGTCATATATAAGCAAAAGATTAATATATACCTGGAGTTAAATTTCACCCCTTGGAACACAACCACGTCTTATTGGTTAAAATGAAATTTATAACACTGATATAATCTGGAGTTAAATTTCACCCCTTGGAACATAACCACGTCTTATTGGTTAAAATGAAATTTATAACACTGATATAATCTGGTCCCCAACAGTAGCACTGAAACAAATGATTCAGAGAAGGCCAATTAAAATGACCAGGGATAAAGCAAATCTTGTATGAAATTACTTTTTCTCTGAAAAAATAAAAACCAAGAGAAGATATACTAATGTAACCTTGACAGCATAAACTTATACACAATAATGGATAAGGATACACACACCTGTTTACAAAATCCCCAAATAAGAGAACTACAGGGCACCAAGTAAAATGTATATATTACTTGTCAGGGAACACATGCTCTTCTTTACTCCCCTGCTTCTACCCCCAGCAGAGCTTGTACATGCTGAGCATATAAATGTGCTCAAGAAAGGTTCAGACAAATTGAATGATGGATTCAAAACAGGGTGTATTATTCTTGATGTCTACAACATGTAGGGCAGCCAAAAAATAGTGAACGAAGCTGGAGGAGATCACTGTTCTGAACTAGTATAGCATTTATGTGCTCATAGAGTAACATGCATATCACTATCAATGCAGTAAAATGGTAGAGGGGAAAGCTGCCAATGACAAAGAAGCGAGCCGAGCAATGCAACAATTTCTCACTAACTCTACTCACCCCTCTGAAGTATGGCCCCAGTCCCTCCCATCCTGAGGCTGATTGACAGAGCAACCAGAGGATGCAGATAAGCCCCTCTGTCCACTTTTTTGCACAGATGAAGACACACTGCTTGGGGAGGAGGAGCTATGGGGCCCGGAGGAGGATCGCAGGGTAGGCATGGTGATCCAGCTGAGGAAAGAAAGAAAGGAAAGGGCTCCTACCACACCACTTTTCCATTTCCCCGCCCTGACAAGTCCCTCTCTTTCCAAGAAAATTTTCTGCTCTAGAACTCTATAATAATATTGGTAGCAGTAACAGTAATAACAACAAAGAATTTAAAAGTATTATGACTCTTAAAGACACCACCAACCCAGAAACTGACGGGTTTGGAGCTGCTCTCCAAGAACCGAGAAAGGCACCCCCACCCAAACCAAACCTACAGCTACTGAGTTCATTCCGACTCATAGCGACCCTACAGGGCAGAGGAGAACTACCCCCACAGGATTTCCACGAAGTGGCTGGTGAATTCGAACTGCCGACGTTTTTGATTAGCAGTTGAGCTCTTAACCACTCCGCCACCAGGGCTCCCAAGAAAGGCACCAGAGCAGCTTAAAAAAGTTCTCTTTCCAGGGGCTTCAGAAGGGCAAACTCTCAGGTGTAAGGGAACTTAGCTCAAACGTAAGATAAAAAAAATTCATTTCTGATTCCACAGAGAATAGAATGGGACGCCCTTAACGACGGGCGGGGGGGGGGGACGCCATTAGAATACGGCCTGAAACTCCAAAAGCGTAAAGAAAGGCTTGCGTTCTCTCCTTTTCCGGAAGGGAGTATCTATGACTGGCCCTGGGGTGACTTTCTTGGGATTGAGGAGCCTTCTGACCGCTTACGAATCTGGGCTGTCAATCTTTCTGCGACGGAGGCTTGGAGTCTCAGCGTCTGTGAAGGGGGCCCCTGAGGCGTGGAGGGGACGTTCTAACTCTCAGGGCCAGGAGCGTGGGGATAGGGGATAATCGTGGGTCAAAGAGGAGCCTCACTGAGTCTGGAATATCGACTTCTGGCTAAGCAAGGTTGAGGAAGGGTCACCGCCTCAGGTCTCTCGGGTCTCTGCGGTCAAGCCACCTCCGGCACAGGCCCCAGCCGCTCCCCTTCCGGTGGCCCAAGATTCCAGAAAAACGCGGGAAGGCACGAGGCATGCTGTGCGCAGACGCAAACCCAACGGCTCGCCCCAAGGCTAGTAACTGTCGCGAGGCTTGGGAGTACGGAAGCTCGTGCTCACCACGTTCCAGTCACGCTACTCCCTCAGCCTCGTGCAGCCAAGAGCTCTCAGGCGTGCCGCCCAGTCACGTGGGCTAGCTTGCGCCGGCCACCCCGCTTTAGCGCAGATCCACCCCGCCCCCGCCCCATCTGACCGCAATTCCCCCTCCCATTGGCTGGGCTCTGGACCACACTACCAGTAACCCCTTCAATTTGGTTTCTCTACTACCATAGGTTGAGTTCCATCCAGGCCCCGCCTTTCGATCTGGATCGCCACGCCCCTGAGAAAGACCACGCCTCTACCTCGCCTACCTCGTTAGTTTGGCTGTGTCCCGCCTCCCTGCCGAGCTTCCCCACTACATTGGCTTAATTTCTCCCTTGACCCCACCCCTGAAGCCAGCTCTTTGCCATCATTGGCGGGGCCCAGCCTCGAGCCCCGCCCCCTGTCCCGCTCCCCGCTCCCATTGTCTCCGCAGATGCCGCCTGGTCCATCTATCGTGCACTGTGTTCAGTTTTGGGGGGTAGCGCTCTTTCTCTGGACGGCGGAGCGGTCCCGCGGCCGAGAACCGGATTCCTGAATTCGGGCATCTCTTCTTTCCTCCTCTGGACCCACTTTGCCGTCCCAGGACTGCTGCGGCGATGTACGCGCTACGACCTCTCTTGCTTCTGCTGCTGCCTCTGTGTCCCGGTCCTGGCCCCGGACCTGGTAGCGAGGCAAAGGTCACCCGGAGTTGTGCTGAGACCCGGCAGGTGCTTGGGGCTCGGGGATATAGCTTAAGCTTACTCCCTCCCGCTCTGATCTCAGGTGAGGAGAAAGAAGACTAGAGAATTGGGGGAGGGGGCAGGGGCGGGTCCTCCCCATCTCACAATAACTCTCTTCCCTTTCAGAGTAACCGTTAGAATAATCTTTTCATCCCATAGTGATGCCGCTCTTCTTCTTGTAACTTAATCATTAGGATCACAATAACTCTCCTATTCACATAATAGCTCCCTTACTCCACCGCCACATCAGGAACCCCTTTCTAGTACTTAGCACACCCCACAGCCCAATAAGTTCTGCTCCCTGTCTTCATGAGGCCCTTCTATGGTAATACTTTTTTGCTTACCAAGTAACTTCATCACTCCAAACCCCGTTCTTCATTCCATAGAAGCTGTCTTGTAAGTCCCTAAAAGCCCTGGGGTATGGGATGTTGGGGAGGGTTACCTGAGGACCCCCCATCACTCATTTGGTCCTCAGGGCAGATGATCCCATGGCTAATGGGAGTGGACTTGGGATGGGTGAGGGGACAATAAGGAGGGGATGGGGTCAGGTGGGGATGAGGGGGCAGACAATAGCAAAGAGACCAGACAAGTGGAAGGGAAGGGAGAGCCCCCAGAGATAGGGGAAAGAAGGAGGGACTTCATGATACCACTTCCCACCATTCCTCTGTGTCTCATCTGTCCAGGTGAGCACCTCCGGGTCTGTCCTCAGGAGTACACCTGCTGTTCCAGTGAGACAGAGCAGAGGCTGACCAGGGAGACTGAAGACACCTTCCGAGGCCTGGTGGAGGAGAGTGGCTCCTTCCTGGTTCACACGCTGGCTGCCCGGCACAGAAAATTTGATGGTGAGGGCCTGGGATCCCCAAACCGGCCTCACACCTCTCTGCTCATGGACCCAGCAAGCATCCTATCCCCACTCCCTACTCCATCCCTAAGTCCCTTCCTCCCCTTCCCTCCCCAGCCCTGACTTAGCCCCCCATCATCACCCCAGGCTCTCTCCAGGGCCCTGTCCGCTTATTCCCAGTCTGGCCAGGTCTCTGAGAGTTGCTCAGTTTCTAATTCACTGTCTTTTCTCTCCCCTACCCCATCCCCTCCTGTCTCTGTCCTTTCACTTTTCCATCCTTCTCTGGCCTCGACCCATCTCACACCCCTTCCTTGCATCTGCCACAGAGTTTTTTCGGGAGCTGCTCTCCGCATCTGAGCGCTCCCTGGCCCAGCTCTTCTCCCGCTCCTACGGCCGCCTGTATGCCCAGCACGCCCCCATTTTCAGTGGCCTGTTCTCTCGGCTGCGGGGCCACTATGGGGGGGCAAGTGGGGGGTTGGATGACACCTTGGCTGATTTCTGGGCACAGCTTCTGGAGAGAGCATTCCCCCTGCTGCACCCACAGTACAGCTTCCCCCCTGACTACCTGCTCTGCCTCACGCGCCTCACCTCTGCTGCTGATGGTTCTCTGCAGCCCTTCGGGGACTCACCTCGCCGCCTCCGCCTGCAGGTGAGAGGCCCGGAGGCCTGAGCTTCAGCCACCTCTGACCCCTGACCCCCCTTTTGTGCCCCAGTCACATCTAACCTGGTGACCCCCGTTCTGCATCGCAGCCACCTCTGACCTCGTGATCCTCATCCTGAGTCCTAGTCACCCCTGCCTGACCCAGTACTTCTTAGTATCCTTCAGTTGGGTGCCTCCCACCCCCATCCTGTGTCCTAGATTCATACAAATCACTGACCCACTCACCAGCCCTCGACCCTCAACCACTAGTATACCAACTCCCCGCAATGCTGACATTCTGACTTCTTCTGGTTTACCAAACATGAGTTAGGCACTTGCTATTAAGAGGCATTTTCATCTATTTAAAAAAAAAAAAAAAATTCGTTGCTATCAATTCTGACTCATAGCGACCCTACGGGACAGAGTAGAACTGCCCACAGGGTTTCCAAGGAGCACCTGATGGACTGAACTGCTGACCTTTTGGTTAGCAGTTGAACTATTTTTCATTTATATTATCTCATTTGTCATCCTAATTCTGCAGGATAGATAGTGGTATCCCAATTTTCAGATGAGAAAACTGAGGCACCCAGAGGTTAAGGTCTCACAGATGGTGGTAGAGCTGTGCCTCTCAGTCAGGTCTTCAACTTCAATGCTTGTTCTGATACACTATGTCCTTATCTCTAAATGCTGCATGAGATAATCCTTCCATATCTTCCCAAATCTGGTTCCCCTTGATCCTTCTAGACTATAATTCCTGTGAGCCTCTCAAACCTGCCTCCCTATGCCACCTGACATTCCTAACTACCCCCTCCTATAACCCTGCAAACCTAACCTGTTCTGCGTATCCCCTTAGTGTAGTCTCTTGGCCTCAGTCTTGACTGACCCACGACTCCCATGGGGTTTTTCCTCACCTTCTCTCCCCTTCTCCAGATAACCCGTGCTCTGGTGGCTGCCCGCGCTCTTATCCAGGGCCTGGCAACTGGAAGAGATGTGGTCAGCACAGCACTTAAGGTTAGAGGGGCCTTAGTACGGACAGGGCCGGGGAGGGAGAGGTAGAAGAGTCAGATGAGGAAGAGTCAGATGCCAGCTGGCAGGAGATGCCTCCAGGCCCAGGCGTCCCAGGGTAATTCAGGAAGGAAGGAGAGTCAGAGTGAAGTGTCCCTTGGGTCATGATCCATGACCTCTCACCTTCTACCCTCTGATGACTCATACCCCCATCAGCCTCCAGGGGTGCCCAAGCTTGGGGTGCTGACCCCTCCTGGCATCCCTCAGGACCCCTCAGTGGCTCCCCACTCTCTGCTGTTGAAGGCCAGATTCCTTGCTTGGCTTTCAAACCCTCCCCTCCACTGCCTGTCTTATCCCTAGCCTCCTAGCCTTCTCTCTTGTTACTTACTATATAAGTTTTCCCCTCCTGCCAGCCAGCCCTCTTGACTGTCTCCCCGCTCCCCACCACGATGGGCTCCCTCTTGTCCTTGAACCTTTCCTCAGAACCGCCCCCCCCAAGTTCCACCCCTCCCATGAAGCAGTCTCTGTCACCTGGCCCCTAGGACCCCTTACCTCAGAGCTGTGGCGGTCTTGTGGTTTCTCCCACTGCCACATGGGTCACTCACCCTAGACACTCATGTCCAGCTCTCCACACAGACCAGGAGCCTGGGGAAGGTGGGGCAGTATATTTGTTTTCT